GTATATAAACGTAATATGTATATATATATATATATATGAATATGTACATATATATATATATGTATATAAAGTATATGTATATATAAAGTATATATACATATATATATATATATATATATGAATATGTACATATATATATATATATTAATATATATAAATATGAATATGTACATATATATATATAGAAAATATATATATATACGTATACATATCCATCAAATATATATATATATAATATATATATATATATATATATGAATAGGTACATATATATATATATATATTATTTATATACGTATACATATACATCATATATATTTATATATACATATATGTATAAATATATAAATATATATATATATAAACTTGTATACGTATATATTTGTATATATATATAAATATATATATATATACATACATACAAACATACATGCATATAAATATATAAATATATATACATAAATACATATATCAATACATTACCGCATCCACGTATCTATTTCGACATAAAATGGTACTTACTTCCGTAAGCTGGAGGTTCTCTGAAACGATCTACTCTGCGGTAGTCGTCAACAGTGGTGGCCTCGGGCGAAAGTCCGCCATGGACGCACAGGAACTGTTCATTCACCACTGCCGCAAGGGGCAGACAGTCGAAGGAGTCCATGAGCGCATCGTATAGCTCTCCATCGTATTTGTATTCGCATTCGGCTTTGAATGTGAAGTACTCGGTCAAATGACGGCATTCGTGGTTACCTATTAAATTGCAGAGTAGGGTTATATCAGTGATTGGGTATGTGCCTATGGATGTATATATAAAATATAACGGCTTGACATGGGTTTGAATACGAGTCGCTCGGTGAAGCAAGGGCACTCGTGGTGGTGCGGAAGTGTTTACTTTCGAGCTGTTTCTGCGCTCATCTCAATTTGTGCAAATGGCAACTCCTTTTAACAAGCACGATAAGGCGCACTGATATATCTTAGCAATAGGAAAATACCTCAATTAATAAGCGACTTTATGGAAAGAGCGTTTGGAATTTTGTTGATGGGCGAAGATAAGAGTCTCACGCAATATATAATCGTGGTATGTACAGATTCCTCTAACTTCCTTCGAGCTTACTTCCGGGTGTGCTGATGCATTCAATCAAGGCGGTCCAATTTTTTCAATCCGTAACACACTCAATTAGTCACATACCTCTCAGTAGGAAGAAAGTCTCGGGGTAGGTGCTCTTCAGCGCCCACAGATATAGCACACATTCAATAGAGAACGATCCCCGATCAACGTAGTCTCCCAGGAATAGATATCGCGTGGCATCTGGTTTACCTCCAACGTCTGAATAGAGAGGCGAGATTGCATATGAATGTCCTAGGTTTCAACAGTTCAATCCAAGTTCGCAATCGATTTCGTGATCAAAGCTTCCTCGACGACCAACTAATACTTATTACCTCAATATAAAGGTAATATTAGATATGGAGAAAGACAACATAATATATATATATATATATATAACAAAGGTAAAAATAGATTTGGATAACGACATAACAATATATATAAATATGTGTGTGTGTGTGTATAAATCATGTATATGTATGTATGTATATACACACACACATATATAT